TCAAACAGCTCACTTGCTTTCCTAATGTCCAACCCATCCCCCTGCCTCAGTTCAAAGCAAGACCCAGGTGGCATGAAAGCCACTAATGTAGCCAAGTTGGACCTGACCTTCGCCATCCACCTGGCAGAACCACTCAGGCTGCACAACATCTTGCCCTTCCCTAGCCCTTGCCAAGACCAACGCCAGCCTTGCCCTCAGTGATTGCTGCCTCTCATGACTGCAGCCCAAGAGCACAGAAAACAAAAACCACACGCATTCAGAAAGACTGAGCACCTGGCACCAAATTGCTTTAATTGCAGTCGCACCCACAGTAAAAATTATAGTCCTATAAACTACACGCAGAACTATAATTTGGTCAAAGTCTTTTTAAGGTTTCCGACAGAGCAAGTTATAGGTTGTAAAGGTCATTATAAAGAATTGGAGAAGTTAAAATGTGTGACCTCGAGAGTTTTCTGATGACTTCTTTATCAGCTGTACCTTGTAACTCATATAAATGAGAAGCAACTAGCAGTTACTAAAATTCCTGTATACAAATCAGGAAAATTACCCACAGAACAGACACCACCAGATGCAAATTAGATGTGAAGAAAAGGGGCAGCTGTACTTTGCCATATCCCTTAACTCGTGCTGTATGTGTTGAGTAAGGGTGACAGCAGAAACAGAGGTTCCTTATTTCCCAGTGAAACTCCTTTCTCCTCACCTCCACCATCCTTGCAGGACTGGAAGCAGCAGAGATGAGTCATACAACATTTACAAGACTTGTAAAATCTTATCAATTCTGAAGTGCAATTTGTGCTAATCAGTTCATATCACAAGCGCAGATGTTAACCCAAAGGAGCATCTAAATGACTGGTACAACCAGATGAAACTGAATAATCTGAAAGTTCACTCATGGGTCATATAACCAAATTGCTACCCTCTCCCATTCTCCCTCATGCTTACTTCTCTCCCTTAAACAACTGTAACAGGATGATGTGTCTTGAATCTTTGTCATGAGCTCCTGGGAGCAGGCCAGCATCAGCATGCAACCAAAATTCAGCTTCCCTCAAGAACTGGGCAGTTGGTTACCATTCTACCCAAGGTATTAGAGTCCTCTTCACAGATGCCAGGCCACTCATGGTGCCACGCCTGCCGCTCAGCATGGCGCTCAGAGCCACTGGGGAAGTTCTGCCTTCAGACTGGGCCTTCCTTTCTTCTACTGGGGTTTTCCAGTTTATTTTCAGCCAGCTCACAGTCCAGGCCAAACATCACCCTAACATACCAACGAAAGAACTGGTGGGGCAGTACACTACATAGTCAAACCTCTTAAGTTACAGGAAATAAGTTCGTGGGGATCCTAATTTATTTTTCCTTTCCACCTAATTGGTCATTGGCACCAAATATGAAAAGCCAGCATTTCCTAGGGGCACCCGCAAACTGACGTGACTTCGGTGGCTCTGTACACATTATATAAAACTAAAGGATGTAAAGTTCAGCCTTACTTGTGCTGCTGATACGTGAAGTAAACAGGCACTTTCTTCTAAGGATTTTTAAAACAGATTTTTCATCTTTTGAAAGGGCCTAGCCTGAGCCAAATTTTGCTTTCAGTTATATAGATACAAATCTGGAGTAATGCTGATAACCTCAAAGCAACACCAAACACGTTTTCTTCGTCACTGAAACTCTTGAGATTGTGCAAAAGAGGAAATGGCAACAACAGAGGAACTCTGAACTTAGAACAGGGCGAGTTATCTTAGTGCATTGACTGTGTGAACTGCCTTTTCTCCTGCAAGCTAGTAACGTAATTAATC